TTGAATATCTTAATGAGAAATAATTATATATATACAGGGTGGACCATTTTATTCTATGTAAAGAAGCAAACAACTTTTGTTTGAAAACATTTTTTATCCGAACTTTATTTTCTAAGATATTTACGGAAATATCTACAGAATTATTGGTTTAAGTAATTTTTTACTCGAATTCTATTAACTTTACCGAAAAATAGCAAGAAATAAAAATTTCTTATATATTTTCTTCTCATAGAGCTCTGAGATTTTTTTCAGAACTTTTTAATTAATTTTTTAGTACTGCATTTTCTTGCATTTTCTTGAAGTACTAAAAAGTTAATTAAAAAATTTTGGAAAATTTCTCAGAGATTTATGCGAAGAAAATAGATAATTTTTATCTCTTACTATTTTTCGATAAGGTTGATAGAATTCGAGTAAAAAATTATTGAAGCCAATAATTTTGTAGATATTTCCATAAAGACCTTAGAAAATAAAGGTCGGACAACAAATTTTTTCAAACAAAAGTTATTTGCTTCTTTACGTAGAATAAAATTCCGTAGTAAAAAAATGTTCCTAATAAATAAATAAATAAATAAATCTATTAAATGTTTCTATTTAAAGCAAGCAAAGTTATAAAAAAGCAAAGTTGACCTCGACCTGACCTTGGCGGGGCCACCCAAGATCAAACCAATGGTATCTTCTTATATCCCCCCATCGATCCATATAACTTTTGTCTGAAACATTTTTGTCTGTCGGTCTTAGTTTTTAAAATATTCGGCTGGATATTAAATATTCGGCTGGAAATTAAAATAGGCCACCCTGTATATATATATTTTTTTTTATTCAAGTCATAATTTTATATCGATTCTATACGATAAGCGCTACGTCATAACAGGGTTTTATTTTATATAAGTATTTATTAAAAGTATATATAAAACTCTCTCTCTCTCTAAGATAATATTCTAATTCTCATATATATTTTCATTCTATAGCCTCTCTCCTTAAAATTACATTTTTCTTTTTATTTATAACAATATAAAATATAAAAAAAATAAAAAGCAAATTGCACATAAATAAATAAAAACAAGGTTAATATATTCTTCAAATAAAATAATTTCAAATAAAATTGGTCGAGTACTATTCATAGTTAAGAACAAAAAGAAAAAAGAAAAATTTCAACAAAAATCTTTCATAAAACATTTAATTTCGTGGACTACTTTAATACAATAAAGGATACTAAAAATTAGCCAGTATATAGTTTAAAAAAAACAAATTAATTTTTTGCAACAAAAAACTTTCTTTGTTTTTTTTGCGATTAAAAAAATCAGTTTTTTAACTATCATATAAAAAAAGTTTTACTACTTAAATAAAAAATAGAATTAAACCACAATATATAAAATATTTGTAAACTAATGTGTATATTACCTTGTTTCTGCATATCTAATATATGCTTAACGCTGTGTCTCCACTTTTTTCCTTTTCCAGCACATAGTTTATCCAAATCACATCTAGGATTTACGTTACTTAATATTGATAAAGATCTAGCCCAACACTTGCCCGGTTTGAGAAAAACAGATCTTTGTACTTGCATATTTGTATTGTTGTTGTGTCGTTGTTTAATCGCGTCATCGAATAATTTAGAATTGTCGAGAGATGAATTTATCGCATTTTTAGAATGCTCCAAATTATCTTCTATTGTTGGGACGTTAGAACAATCATTGGTTGCAACGTAATGGAGCATTTCATTATTTGATAGTGTACTCGATTTGTTATTTAAGCTTTCTGACATGCTTGATACACTCGGATGCCATTTAGAATATCGCATTCTTTTTGTAATTCTGACTGGATCTTGCAATTTTGTAAGCAGTACGTGAACATTAACAGCGTTAGATAATTCATTTCTGCTATTACTGAAAAAACTATGTTTACTATCGTTAACAGTTTCATTTTTAGAATTTTTGCAGACTATTTCCAGGGGATTCATTTCTGTACATTGCTTCTCTTGGCCTTTATATTCTTGTCTTGTACATCCAATGTTATTTAAATTTTCAGATATCTCTGTTTTAATTGGAGTATGTATTTTAGGAGACATATATTCCATACTTATACCGGTATTTACATTATTGGTTACAGATTCTTTTTTTTGCTTTAAATTTAAATCAGTGGATGAATGTAAGGCAGCTGTTATATTCAAGATTTTCGTAAACTTGTTTTCTGATGCATCCATAATACATTTCTTTTCTATATTATGTCCAACAATATTCTCCATCGAATGATCACAGTTATATATTGTGTCGCCAAATAACGATCGTGAGCGATCCGTGCCTGCGGAGATGTTTAAAGAAGGTGGAAGCTCTGTTCTTAAATCGCTTTGAACATATTCTTGCCTAAGAGCTAGATGTACATCCTCATTGGATGATATTATTTTGTCTTTAACAGCGAAATCTGTAGCAATTGATAGTTTTTGAGGTAGTAAAATTTCTGTCTGCTGTTCCTGCATACTTGTAATATCAGTTTTATAGCATCCTGATGAAATTAACGAGCGAATAGAGTCTTTTCGTTCGAGAGATATATCGATAGAAACATTTTCTTTTTCCGTTATTATTGAATTTCTATGTCTCGTATTTAGTGTATCACGAATATTTTCGATAGGAGACAATAGTGGATAAGTGGAAGATCTTATATGTTTGTCAGTAGGAGTACTAGAAACCATATATTTCTCTTTCTTGTTCAATAGAGTAATTTTTTTCTTAACAAACTTTTCTGTGTTCAATCTTTCTATTTTTATAAAACTATCTTTTATTAAATATGCTTTCTTTCTTTCTGCATCAGGTATTACACTATTAATATCAGTATTGCAATGAAATGTAGTTTTAGGCAAATTATGTCCAACAGCCAAATGTGAAGTATTTGTCTCATTTACTTCACTGGTAGAGTCCTTTATCACAAAAGATTGCAAAATTATGTTTTGTATTTTAAAAGTATCCATGTTAATTTGTAATATATAAGAATGCTTTTTATTTTGCTTACCACAATTTTCTCACGATTCAATATATGCCAATTTTGGACTGTGTTAGAATCTAACTTAATGAAACATGGTTTAATATTTTGGTAATAATTCACTATATGTTTAGAAGTTTCAATAGAATCATTAGCACAATTAGATGTCACTTGTGATATTATAGTAGTATCTTTGTTGATCTTTAAAACTTCCTGAGCCAAACATTTATTATTATAATCATATGAAATATCTTCATGTACAGCATCTTTCAAATCATTTGTAGTATCAAAATGATGTATATGTTCATTGTATCTACGACTAGACTTCAGTCTATATTGTGTTACTTTTTGCTTTTGTATATTATTTGTTTGTAATTTTCGTGCCTATTTATTGTTGTATATTATTGGTAAGAGATCAAAGTTTTACAATATTATATGTGACATACATAACATATGCATACGTACCTGTATTTTTGTCTTCGACTGTATCCTATCTTTTTTTTTTAATATTTTTTTTGTCTTCTTATGCACTCTCTCTGGCTCTGATACAACTTCCATTATATATTTCTGTGGTTTCCTGCACTTGCGAGTATGTTTAGTGGTTTTATTTGTTAAATTCGACACATCATTATGTATAGGTAGATTGCACGATATATCCTTAAGAGATTTTACAAGATTTGTTACATTATTAATATCACTATCACTGCTGTTGTTGTTCCATGAATCATTTTTATTTATATCCAATGGTAAAGGAGGTACACTGTATTAAAATATAATTTTACAATTATCTAATTAAAATGTAATTTAGAGATTAAATATATATATGATTATTATAAGCCAAAATAAACTAACTCACAAGAATTATTATAATTAAATAATTAATTTTAAAAAATTCTATATTTATTATTATAAGATAAATTTTCTTACATTGCTCCTTTAGCAATTCTGTCAAATGTAGTTTCAAATGGATCATGAATTAAGGAATCATTACAATTTTCATTGTTCTCAAAATAATCATCCTGAACTCTTTGTTTTTGAGTCAATATAACAGATGGTACTAATGAAATATTTATTAAAGGTTTTCTTACAGTTTTCCTTTGATAAGTTCGAATTGGTTGTCTGTAATTAGCCATAATTTCATACCTAAAAATAAATTCTCGTTTGACTTTAAAGTTAATTTAATCTGACAATTACAAATATAAAATAACTAAAATCTTTAATATAATCGATGAAATCAACATTATCAAATTTACTTACTATTAAAATTAAAGATATCAAAGACTAAGTAGAAGAAATGCGTTTTATGTAGCAAAATCTAACGATTTAGACGTATTTGGAATTATTTTTCTGAGTGTTTTCTCTAATCAATATTGCATAAAGTCTTGTAAAGCAATCCCAGATTTTTGTACATACGTATAAAGGATATGATATAAAATTTAGTAACGGATCAGGGGGTACAAACTTCCTCTTGTAAAAATTGGCCTCCGTTTTTAATCGCGCCCTCTGAGATAAGGTTTGTTCGCGTTGCATGTCTCAACGTTGCATGCTCCTACTCGCTCCAACGCACTCTGATTGGTTACGTCACAACGCGGACCAATCAGAGTGCGTTGAAGCGAGTAGGAGCATGTTAGGGCATGCGACGCGAACAAACCTCTATAGTTTCCGGATGTGGCTAAACTAAACGGGTGACGTCATGCGGAGTGGGATACGGCATCGTGTGAGTAAAGGGACGTCTACATTGGAAGTAAACAGTAATAGCGAATTCGGTTGCTTGCACTAGTGTGCACTGAGTGCGCACTAAGGCTTGTTCATAGTATGTTATTATATTTAAAGATTGTTTTCAATAATTCTCAAATAAATTCTCAAATATTTTTAACCATAATATGATATGTATAACATCCGTACGAATCATTTTATTAGTTAAAATGTTTTTAAATATGTATTTAAGACATGATCTTAAATATAAGAATGTACTGTAAACAAGCCTTAATGCGCACTCAGTGCGCACTAGTGCAAGCTACCGAATTCGCTATTAGAAGTAGGAAGTAAGAATAAGAAATTGACCAATCATAGTTAATTATTCTTCTCACATTCGACTGTGGTTGGTCAATTTCTTACTCTTACTTCCTACTTCTTGCTATTTACTTCCAATGTAGACGTCCCTTTAAGGGACGTCTACATTGGAAGTAAATAGCAAGAAGTAGGAAGCAAGAGTAAGAAATTGACCAATCATAGTTGATTATTCTTCTCACATTCGACTGTGGTTGGTCAATTTCTTACTCTTGCTTCCTACTTTTTGCTATTTACTTCCAATGTAGACGTCCCTTAATGCTCTCGCAGCCAGCGCGATTTGCAACGCGACACGCGATATGCGATGCGCGATATCCGATGAACGTACAGCTTTTCCGGAATACCAATACGCTCATTGGATATCGTTCGTCGCATATCAAATGTCGCGTCGCGCATCGCACTGGTCTACGAGAGCCATAATACTCTATGCACAATGCCAGGCAACAAGCAATAGGAATAGGCATTAGCCAATAGGAACAGGGCATAGAAATAATTGACCAATCGGAATTCCTATTCCCTATTCCTATTGCCTGTTGCCTGGCATTGTGCATAGAGCGTAAGGGCTGTGGCACACAGAAAAACTTAAGCACTAAGCGTAAGCAGTAAGCAAATTGACTAATCACAGTCGTTGATTCTTGGACCGTAAAGGCCATTCTACAATTGCGTAAGCGTAATCGTGAACGTAAGAATTAACCAATTAAAGTGTTTTATTTACTAATTGCTTTATTTTGATTGATTGTCGTAATCATCTACAACCATTTACAACCACGCTTACGCAATTGAAGAATGGCCTTAAGGGTGCTATTTCACGTGTCGTACGACAAACTTTTCGGATACGTTTATTGTTTGGCGAATAGAGTATTTCTAGGTTCTCTATTCGTCAACCAATAAACGTATCCAAAAAGCTTGTCGTACGACACGTGAAATATTAGCCTAAGAAGAATCAATGACTGTGATTGGTCAATTTGCTTACTGCTTACGTCTTACTGCTTAAAGGCTCATCTACAATAGCTGTAAGAATATGGCTGTAAGGCTGTAACGTGAACTGTCAACAAATCAAAATAATTCATTTCGCGTCTTACAACCTTACAGCCATATTCTTACAGAAATTGTAGACCACGCTTAGTTTTTCTGTGTGTTTTGGTCCTTAAGCTAACTACACGTACTTTTCGTAACAGTAACCGTAAGACGTAACGTAAGAATTGACCAATTACGATCGAATATTCACAAAAATGGCGATCTTACAATTCGACGATTCTTAACATGATTGGTCAATTCTTACGTGACATCTTATGATTACTGTTAAAGTGCCTTTACATAGCTGCGTTTAGATTCCTTACCCGGGTGCACTCTAATACAAGAAGTGCTATAGTAAATAGGTTTGTTCGAGTTATGGCTCCTGCACACAGGACGCGGTAAAGCTTGCCGCGCGGCAAAAGTCCACGCGACAGCCAATTAATATGTTGTTTTACCGTAAGAGCTAGAAGGTTATTACGGAAAGCAGCATATTGATTGGCTGTCGCGCGAACTTCCGCCGCGCGGCAAACGTTACCGCGTCCTGTATGCAGAGCCATTACTTGTACTATTCACACTTTTACATCTAATACCCATTGCACAATAGTGCAACTCATACAACACAGATTTTCCAAAATACGTTCTGAAGATGCTTTTAGGACGGAGGGATGTCATCAGAATATTTTTAGGACGTCCTTTGTAGATGCGAGTTATCTGAAAATAGCTAATATTTAATAAGTTTATTCGCATTAATTGAACTTTTTACACTTTCACACTTAGTGCACATTAATTCTTTAGAGGTTCTAAAAATGACGTCATGATTTCCGTTCGTGTTACGAGTGTAAATGCAATTCTAATACACTTTTTACACTTAATCCCAAGCAAGAGTGAAAAGTGTATCAGAATTGCATTTACATTCGTAACACGAACGGAAAACATGACGCCATTTTTAGAAGCTCTAAAGAATTAATGTGCACTAAGTGTGAAAGTGTAAAAAGTTCAATTAATACAAATAAACTTATTGGATATTAACTATTTTCAGACAATTTACACCTTCAAAAAACGTCCTAAGAATACTCTGATGACGTCCCTCCATTCTGAAAATGTCTTCAGAATGTATTTTGAAAAATTTATGTTGTTTGAGGCGCACTAATGTGCAACGAGCATTAGGTGTAAAAATGTGAAAAGTACAAGCAACTCGAACAAACCTTACGAGGGCTGCTCCGTAAGTTTTGCGACTAGTAAGGAAAACACGGTAATTTGTCATTGAAAATGGCTTTATTGTTTTTCAAAGTATTCTCCATGATGATAAATACACTTCTGCATTCGCTCAAACCATTTATTATAGCATCCATGCCACTCCGAAAGTGGTACCTCCAAAACATGTGTTTTAAACGCATCAACCGCTTCTTCTGGCGTCGAAAATCGTTGACCACGCAGTTTATTCTTGATGAACAAAAAGAAGTCATTGAGTGCCAAATCAGGACTGTACGGTGGATGACCAATTCATTCGATGTTTTCACTGGTCAAATAGGCGGTTGTTTGAGCCGATGTGTGAGAGCTCGCATTGTCATGGTGAAGAATGATTCGTCGTCTTGAGTTGTTTTTCCTTATTTGACCGAAAACTTCTGGCAAACAAATGGTTGTGTACTACTCAGAATTGACCGTTCTACGTTTCTCTAAGAGTACTGTTGCCACATGACCAGTTTTTCCGAAAAAAACGGCGACCATTTGTTTGAAAGTGCTTCGAGCGCGAACAACTTTTGTTGGGATAGGTTCACTTTGAAAGACCCACAGTCGACTACTGTTTAGTTTTCGGCTCATATGCATAGATTCATGACTCGTCACCTATGTAGAGATTATATACGGCATTTGACGCACCTCGATCGAATTTCTTCAGCATTTTTTTGCACCAATTTACACGATTCTTTTTTTGAGCAATTGTCAAATTATGCGGGATCCAACGTGAACAAATTTTTTTTACGGCCAAATGTTCATGCAATATCGTTTGTATGCAATTCATACTAACACCCAGGGATGTCTGAATCTCACGGTATGTCACATGTCGATCTTGCATTATCAATTCACGCACAGCATCGATGTTTTCGGGAGCGGTGCACTTGGAAACGGTGCATTTGGATACAGCCAATCACAACACCGTATGATTAGAGACATTTGTAGGGTCCCTTGGAACAGCGACTTGTGATTGGACTGTGTCCAATTGCCCCGTGTCCAACTGATATACACCCGATGTTTTCTGGTACAGCAGCTGATTTTGGGCGACCTTCGCGAGGTTCGTTGGTGAACGAACTACGACCACGATTGAATTCATTAAACCAGCAACAAATAGTGGTCTTGTGTGGTGCTTCATTGCCAAAAGTGGAAGCAAGTTGATCGATGCACTCTTGTCTCGATAATCCACGTCAAAAGTCGTAAAAAATCATCGCACGAAAGTGTTCTCATGTTAATTTCATTTTTTCGCTGAGACACAATTTTCAAGTCACTGTAAACAATACAAGTAGCCTCCGTACAACAAAACGTTTCGAGTAAAAAAATCTCCCAAACTGTCAAACTTTTTGATGGTAAGGTTAGATTTTATTTAGCAACGCCAGTGTTGCCAAGTCGCAAAACTTACGGAGCAGCCCTCGTATGTAACATATTCTACAGTGTTTCTAGTAACAGAGTACATCGGGGTAGGGAATCTGAACGCACCCCATGGGAGCATCGAGCGTCAAGCGTTAAAGCGGTAGCCAATCAACGTGGCACTTTCCGCAAGAACTACAAGTATACTTCTGGAACCTGATACGTTGATTGGCTAACGCTTTAACGTTCAACGCTGAAACGCTCCCATGTATTGGCACCTTTACGGAAAATGTGTGTGGTCAGCTTAAAGCTGTAATCGTAAGACATAACGTAAGAACTAACCAATTACGATCGAAATTCACAAAAATGGCAATCTTATAATTCGACGATTCTCAACATGATTGGTCAATTCTTACGTTATGTCTTATGTCTCCTGCACATGTTTTTTTCCGTAAGAGCGAGAAAGTTATTACAAAAAGCAGCATATTGATTGCCTGTCGCGCGAACTTTCGCCGCGCGGCAAGCATTACCGCGTCCTGTGTGCAGGAGCCATTACTGTTACGGAAAGTGTGTATGGCCAGCTTTAGGGCAGCGCACGAACATTACCGTAGTTCCTTACGCCATCTTATGTGATAACCTTACGTTACGTGAGACAAGCTGAACATACGGCAATGCACGAAAATGTACGTTACGTTATGAAAGAATATATATATTCTTTCATAACGTAATGGCTCCTGCACACAGGACGCGGTAATGCTTGCTGTGCAGCGGAAGTTCGCGCAACAGCCAATCAATATGCTTTCCGTAATAACCTTCTAACTCTTACG